TGTTAATACTACAATCTGGATACGTGTTGTTATAGTAACTGAGTGCGTTACCGAAGTGCATCTGGGGCATAAGGTGAAAAATGAGTAATTCTTGGTGATATCGTGAAAAAGAAAATTGAACTCCAGAACGAAAAGTGTGTATTGGGGTATCCGTGTTGCGCGTCAACGAGCCAATAGGATTATTTATCCGTTGGAATTCAAAAATATTTGAGGAGTCGCCAACGGATCTCACCATGGATACGTTCAAATTAAGGATTATTTCATTGATACGAAGGACTTTGGGCACCGCATTGCTTCTGTGTCTCGGTGAGTTAAATCCATAACCTCAAATTAAAGAAGCTTCGATCTCAATCCAATGCTATTAATGGCTCCCCTTGGTACTTCCGTTTGAAGTAAGATATCCGGGAGTGGATAATTGAGTCGAATTTCTCTCGGTCACTTACAACCTTGTAAATCTATTATCGTTACGGGATTGTTGCGTGCATTTAACAAATCACAGATATTGTCCGTAATGATATGTAATTCTTAGGACATGCGTGAACACACACATTCCAAATATTCAAGATAAAAGAGTTTCACGGTGCGCGAGGTGCTTTTGAAAGACTCTTCGCCCGCAACAGCCATTGAAAACTGCGAACTGCGGAATCCGTGAAATTGACAGTCAAAGGTCTCTCCCTCTCTCCCCCTCTCTCCCTCGGCCGCCGCCATGTTCGTCCCTACCTCGCTCTTCCCTCTTTCCTCATTTTCGCTGCTCAGTTGCCACGAGCACTATTAATCGTAGGATTCACATGGTATCCATCCAGAATTTCATCTACTCCACCGCCCTTAACAATGCTTCGCGAATTAAAGTACGCTCTGCCAGAGATTCATTGTTTCTCTTCTCTTTCGACAAAATTAACATCTCGAACACGCGGCAGATTGTCCTCTTGCGCAATTTGCATGCAGTTGTCACATGACAATTCACATAGCAGCGGGTAGATACAGCGAGATACAAAACCATGAAGGAGGCCGAGTTCGAAGAGAATGCCAAAGACCGATCAGCGAACTCCTTCAAGATGGAAGCCTCCTGAATAGAGATTCCCTATCGCGAGGAAAAGCAAAATCGAGGCAGCCCCCGAAGAGCCGCCACTTCTGCGGACGATTTCTTTCCCTCGTTTCCACTTTGTTAGAAATGCGATTTCATACCGCTTGCACCTCCGGAGCTTCCCTCGGTCTCCTTTCTCTCGTCTCTCTGTCTGTCGTCGGAGATGAAAGTGCCGCGGGAACCACTATCGCAGCCGACTGACAATTTGTCTTCTAAAGCGCTTTTCCAGAATGTTGTTCGACGTTGGACAAAAAAAATTATGTCGGTACCCAGGTATCTATGTACAAACATCTATACATATGTGGATAGACCTCCGTACATATGTGCACATGACCATAAGCGCACACTAGGAATATATTCTACGAAGCTTAAAGCTCCACGTTGTTACCAGGGTGCCGACGGAAATGGGATTACTTTTGTCCCGTGGTGGCGTAACTTGCCGTTCCAGGGCGCACCTCAACGTTTCCCCAGTCTCTCTGTACGAGTCTATCCGAGTCTATCGTAATTCCGAACCCACACGAGGACCCCTCAGCCCAGTTTACTCTAGTCTACCCCCGAGCCTTCTCTACCTCTGTCTACTTTAACCCAAGCGAATAGCTTTCAATGCGTTAAACGGTACTGTCACTTTCACGAGAGCTACGACAATACCGAACGATCTTGGCAGTCATCTTGAAGTTTCGCGAAACGCCGAGAGGCGTCGCCGCCGACGCTTCAAAGTCAGTTTCACCCTGCACCACTCGCCGCCATTCCCTCAACTCGGAAAATCAGCAGGAAATCTAGAAACGAGTACGGATTAGTTTATACTTTTGCAAGGTTTATACTTTTTCAATGCGACGACATCGGCTACGTCACCGACGACGACGAAGGCGGCTTGAGGTATTCGGTGACGTTCCATGGTACGCGGTTGCACCGTCGCGCAATACGGCGTGCCGACGAATGCAAATATTTGTCGAGGTTTGTAGCTTAAGGCCATCGTTAAACACCACGAGTTTTAGTGTAGATCGATCCGTCGACTTGTCGTTAAGTTTCTATTTCAATTTACAGCTACGCGAGCATCGCCTTTTCTCTTGTATATCCGCCGTCCGGGCTGCGTTTATTTAACGGCAGACTTTCATAGGTATACTTACGTGCTCGTTAGGCTCTAACGTTTCCGTAGATAAAGATCTGTCGGGACTCTTGCTAATTTCGGAACGCAGAACCACTCTATTGGGTAACTTTGAAAATCTCTTAAAATTTTCACCCTGTCACCTTGAGTCCTCGACCGTTAATGGAATGCGTCGTCGTTTGGATTTCAAAAAAAAAAAAAAAAAAAAAAAAAAAA